CGGATTTGGGGAGATTTCGGTGAGCGTAGTCCAACCATGTTTTCAAAAAAAAAATTTAAAAAAAATTGACCCAGTTTTGGACCCAACCGGAATTCCGGTTGGACCACCGGGGGTCCAACCGGCCCGGTTGGATCCGGGCCGGTCCAACCGGCCGGTTGCCGGCACAGCCATGAAACAAAACAATTTGACCCATTTTTGGGCCCAACCAAAATTCCGGTTGGACCACCAGGGGTCCAAACGGCCCGGTTGCCGGCACAGCCTAGTGTAAAACACTATTCATCTGTCTCGTCTTAATGATCTGATTTTGTTTCTTGTGGTGTTGTGTGTGTTCTTCTCCAGCCATCCTTGCGCCAAGCAGCTGTGGCAACGTTGCGGCATATGTCAGAACGTGATCCGGTAAGTACTGGCCATCTCCCAGACCTAGAAGGATTTTATTTTTTGTTGTTGTTGTTTTGTTTTGAAAAGCAGCGTTCTTGCTAGGAGAGGTGATAAGAGCACCCCCTCCTAGCACGAGACCTGGATGCTCCAATCTATTGGTGGCGAGCAGCATCTGCTGGAATAAATTACTTTGAGAAAGAAACATTAAACAGCTGACTTCAATGCTCTGCACCCAGTATGCTATAAGAACACATGTAAGTTGATTAGATGATGATGAACAGATTATGAGTTCATATGTCTTGTGTATACAATAGCATGCTAGAAATAGATAACGACACTGATGAGGATCTCCTTCAAGTTATTGGATATTCGGACCTTAGATGCGGAAAAACTTAGCTAGACCTAATGGGAGGGAAAGCTCGTTTGCAAAAAGGCACTCCTAACATGTCAGGCCAAGAGAGGGAAATACTTGTGTACACAACATCATTGATAGTCTGGTATAAACAGAAGATAACACTACCTTGGATGACCACGAAGATGAAGTGATGGAGCTTCAGAGAGTAGGGAGAGGCAATTTGAATATGCTGCTGAACCACTGCTATGACAAACAAGATAGAGCGGCGGGGCTTCGAAAGGTAGGGAGAGGCAAGTGGAACATGCTTCTAAACCACTGCTATCCACCCCAAACCTACAGGACTAGCGATCGGAGAGGAGACGCCTACGAGACCTAGGAACATGACCATTGCCACAGCCTGGTGGTTAGGACTTGCTGGTCCAGCTTATCTAAGAGAATGCACCCCCCGCCGCACTCCCCGTTAGCCCCTTGGATTGCTGAATGACAAGTCATGTCGGTGTCGCATGGTTACCTCCTCCTGTCAAACACAGGGAGTAAGTTCCTGCGGCAAGTGATTATGGCATTGCCAACCGGGCCGCCCGAGTCACCTTGGTTGCCCGGGCAGCCTGGCTGGGCAAGGGTTAGGGAAGTTCCCTGCAAAAAAAAAAGAAAAAGAATCCTAAAATCCGAAAATGCAAAAAAAAAAGAAAAAGAATCCTAAAATCCGAAAAAAACTATGTTGTGCAGAAAAATCAACCGGACAACTTTTGCCTCAGGGTCACATCAAAATTCTTTGCCAAATCAGAAAAGATATCAAAAAATACTAGGGGGCGCCTTGTTTGCCCGGATGGCTCGGCCGTGCAAGGGCCAAGGAGGGTTCCAGCGGAAAAAAAAAAGGAAAAAAGCTCCCAAATGCAAGGAACCTGTCCGGTCGTCACTTGCTGGAGTGTATCAATTAACATGCATGTAACACATATCTCACAGATTCGCAATGTCTCACACAAAGTTCAATGAAAAATGAATGGAAACCAGGAAGTGTGACTCAATTATCACAACCAGGTTAAGGAAAGAGAATCATGAGTTCAAAATGTAAAGCGCCCAACAATATTACAAGTCCTCTTTATCCAACAAGAGTTTCAGGCCTGGCGCTCAACAGCGCCAGCAGCCAATCATCAAGAACAGCGCTCAGCAGGTAAGTTTCTCCATAGCTCACTTCTCTCCCTTCGGTTAGTTTCTCCATAGCTCACTTCTCTCCCTTCGGTTCTTCCGTTCTCTCTCTCCCTTTCAATGTCTTTGGCCCTGGCCTACTCACACTCACCATACATGCACACTCCTTAACACACGATGATCTACTCTGAATACTACTCGCTGGTCTTCTCTACTAACTATTCCTACTACTAATACTAACTGGCGCTGGCGCAGCTATGGCTGCTCTTCTTCCAGCCTGTGCCCAACTCTCTCTCTCTCTCTTCAGCGCAGCTCTCAAGCCTGGCGCAGCTCAATCACACCTGGCACGCAAGTGCCTTCAGCACTTCCACACTCTCATGCGAACGAGTATCTGTCCAATGGGAGGCTGGCCAGTCCTTGTAGTGCTGGACTGGTCTGGCGTGGTCTGCATCCAGCCTCCAAGTGCCTGGGACTCCAACCCAGTACCTGTTGTTGCAAAGTGTGTCCCAGTATCCTTTCCCATGGTCTGCTGCTGCTTTGGCCGACGGGCCTGTCTTTTTGACTCCTGGTCTGAATCAGATTTGACCCTTGGGACTGTGACTCGTCTAGGACTGTGACCTTTGACTTATTGCCGAACAGACATGACCCTGTCTCAGCCTGAAAATTGAGCCCAGTACCTGTTCGTCTAGGATCTGACTGTGACTTTTCAAAAACGACTTTTCTTTTCACTCTGGATGCGACATTTTCTTCAGAGAACTTGTCCTTTGGAATGCTGCTCGTGAAATTGAGTTCTGACCGACAGGGCCCCTTTTATATTGGGGTCACATTTAGGGGTCTGAATCGTAAAGGCCGTTTTGTTACGATCCTGGCCAATTTCGAAGTATACAAACATCAGACAGTACAATGCTGTCCAATTGCAAAAAAGAAATGAATGAACTTGAGAGGAGAGAGAGGGAAAGAAGAAGAAGAAGAAGTAAGAAAGAAGAAGAAGATGATGTGCTCCATCATAGACCAATGACAAGGCTCTTCTTCCTCGCCAACCAATCTCCTCCTTATCTCCTCCCCTCTTATTCAAACAAGAAATAACAATAATAACGTTGAATGGCTGAACCAGAATCAATGTCCGAATCCCACTTCTACTGCAGGCACAATCATGAGGTCCGCCATAGCCATGGCCACCCTTCCTCTCCTCTACATACAGGCCGGGCTATGGCGGAGTACTGAGGGCTCTCCCTCCTGTCCAGAGGACAACCCAAAGCAGCTATGTCGCTGCCCTTCTGTTGCCCCTTCCTACTCAACCGCCATGCCTGACCCTGTCCCGAGCTTCCTTGATGCGGCAATAACCCCCACTGGGGCCTTCCAGATGCAGCGCCTAACAAGGTGATGAAGATGGTGTCTACCATAGCCAGGTAAGTACCCCGCCACTCTCCTCCTTGGTCCCCTTCTCCCTCCTCCTCCTACCGGTAGAGCTCCACCATAGCCAAGGTGGGAGCTCCCGGCTTCTTCCTCCCAGCAGCGCTGTAGTACCCAGCGCCACTCCAGCCAGCGCTCCAGCAGCGTGTCGCCAAACTTGCACACTGAAGAATGAGGCCGAGCTCTTGCCTCGGCCTCTTGATATAGCGGCCTGCTTGCCTCTTGGGTGGTGACTTCCAGGCCGCTCGGCCTCCCAAGCAACCGGTACCTCCTCCCTTTCGGAGGGAAACATCATTGCAGACTCTGATATTGCCCGTACAGGCTCTAGACTCAGACTGGACGGACTGGTACCGGCCTAGACCTACCGCTACTGGGCCTCTAAAAATGCCAACTTTGTCTTCTTCTGCTCGGCCTCGAGTACCCGGCACATCTACTGCTACTGTGTGCGGTACCGGCCTACCTGCTACTTGAGTGTTTTTCTGCTGCTCCAGGTGCCGCGGGCCCCTGCCTCCGCCCTGCTGCAACCCTCAATGCCACGGCCACTGGTAAGTACCGGCCCTATGGGCCTGCCAAACAAGCAAGTACCCTTACGGGTCACACACACACTCATGCCGACAAGCACTCAGACAGGCACGCAAGTCAACAGGCACGCACACATACAGACTTAGAAAACACAGCATAATGCGGGAATCTTGGCAAGGCATCCATTCCATCGGCAGAACTTCAGAAATCAGCAGTGTTCTCAGTCTGTGTTATGGCGGGTCATTACATAATTAATTATTTTTCAAAAATTTTGAAATTACGCATTTCTTCGTAATCAATTGTTTCTCGAAATTTTTGTAATTCGAAATAATTCAGAATTAATTAAATCATTTCCTGATAGGCTACCAGAGTGGCCCGGGGTCACTTGCCCGGCTGGGCCAAAACAATTAAAAAAAATAAATTTTTTTTTGAATGTTATTTTTTATTTTAAATTTGGTGAAGAATTTCAATGTGACCCTGAGGCAAAAGTTGTTCAGTTTATTTTTCTGCATAACATAGTTTTTTTTTTCAGAATTTTTGGATTTTTTTTTTTTTTTTTTTCCTGGGACCTTGCACGGGCTGGCCACCCGGTACCCGGGCGGCCCGGCTGGTAGCCTAGATTTTCTGGCATTTTCTTTTCGACAATATTTTTAATTAACTCGTTTTCAATTTTTTTTTGAAAACTACGAACTTCGAAAATTATTCTGACTAATTATTCTTCGGAATTTTTGTAATTCAAAAATCCTTTCGTTTGAATTAATTCGCGACTGAACTAATATCTTTTTTTTCNCAAAAAAAAAAAAAAGAAAAAAAAAACTCCAAAAAATCTGAAAAAAGACTATGTTATGCAGAAAAATAAACTGAACAACTTTTGCATCAGGGTCACATCAAAAAAATTCCTCACCAAATTGCAATTTTTTTTTTTTTTAATTTTTTTTTGCCCGGCCGGACAAGTGGTCCTGGGCCACTCTGGTAGCCTAGAAAAAATATTTATAATTTTAATTAATTTATTTTCTTAATCTTTATTTTTTTTGTGGCCCGGCTGGGCAAGTGGTCCTGGGCCACTCTGGTAACCTAGGTGCCAACTGGAATCAAGATATTTTAATATTTAGTTGGATCGGCAACATCACAAAAAAGAATAAAGGAGTCCCATCTTCTGGACCTATATAAAAATTGATATTTGAGTAAAAAAAGTTAAAAAAACTATCGTACTGTTTCAACAAGTTGGAATTTAGCTGTAGAATTTCCAAATTTTTATCCAAAACAACTGGTTGCATTTATGTAAATCCCCTGATGATATGCAGAACTGAAGACAAAACAAGGTCAGCAATTGTCATGTATGCCATTCTATCACTGCTATACTGGGAATATATGGTCAAGGCCAGAATTTCGGACATGGCCAGTACTGATAGGCAGGTGGGTGGGTGCCTGGTTCTTGCAGATGGGAGTTGTGCCAGAAAGAGTGGAAGAAGACTTGCTGGCCATGCTTGACAATGAGACTGATCTAAGGTGAACTTCAGTAACAAAGTGGATGTGTTCGGCATTTTCCCTGCCTCGTGTACCCTCCTTTAAACCGCTCTAGACCCTGTCTATACCCCCCTAAAAACCCCTTGAACCCAACACGTGCTTTCCTTTGTGATTACTTAACATGCGCAGGCCTTTTTTTTGGGTAACAAATTTTCACTGTTTTGGAAGAAGACTTGCTGGCCATGCTTGACAATGAGACTGATCTAAGGTGAACTTCAGTGGCAAAGTGGATGTGTTCTTCACCGTTTTCCCTGCCTCATGTACCCTCCTTTAAACCCCTCTAGACCCTGTCTATACCACCCTAAAAGCCCCTTGAACCCAACACATGCTTTCCTTTGTGATTACTTAACATGCGCACAGCTAGCGTTCCCGGGGGGAGACCACGCCCGGGGTATCCAGGGCGTGCAAAAAATGCACTGATTTTTTTATTTTTTTTATTTTTTTTTGGGACTTCGGTGCCTGTCTACACTTTCCGCATACTGCCGATATCCGGCCTTGTTTCTAATTTCTATGCATATGTGTTTATGCGTGTTTTGGGAGCAGGGGCGGGGAGAGGAGGGTGAGGGGAGGGGGTGCAGGAGCGGGGTGGATTATGGGTTGTCCTTTTAGCAGGACTGGGGATGCAGCAGCTGCTGTGTCCCATCTGTGCTTGAGCTGCGTGAAAGGAGGGAGGAGGGGGTGCTGTTGCATACTAGTGAATACTTCACCAAGTATGGGCCGAACCAAAAATCAACCAATATAGGATGAGCATGTATACAGCGGAAGTCTGAGAAATGGACTGACTCACATACTCTGAACTCACCCAAACATCACTCAACACACAAGCAATCGTGAGATGGTGGGGTCTAAAGCCATACATAGACGGTGCTTCAGGTCCCGTACAACCATACACAGATGAATGGTGGGAGGAGAGAAGATGGAGGTGGGAGATATGGACAGCGCCAGATGTCACCGAGATAGAATCCAGAAGGTCACCGATATGGTAGCCCAAAATGTCACCGAACAAAATCAGAGTATCGTGGACATAAGTCACCAATGTCGGAGGTACAGAATCCTAATGTAACCGATGTCCGATCTGTGATGCCGCCAGGTATCAATCCCAACTATCTCCAATGTCTCGAATCCAGTGAGTATCACAGCCTCCTACCACCAAAGTCCACTCACTGATCTCTGTCCAACTCGTATCAATAGTCTCCAGTCTGAAGAAGAAGAAGAAGAAGAAGAAGAAGAAGAAAAAGTCTGAAGAAGAAGAAGAAGAAGAAGGAGAAGAAGAAGAAGGAGAAGAAGACTGAGAGAGGTAGAGGTAGTAGAAGAAGTCCCGGGAGGGGCAGAGCATCGGTGGAGCTGGCGAGTAGCCCAGGCCCTACCTGTAACTGAAGTTGGCGCCTTGCTGCTGCTGGACGTAGCTGCGCCGCTGGAGCTATGGTGCTCACGACGGAAGTCAGGTAAGTCCCCTCCACGCTCCTCTCTACTGCAGTGCGCCAAACTTAGCGCTGCTGTTCCCAGCGCTGTGCTGAACCCAGAATAGCGCAGCGCTGCCGCTCCACAGTGCCGCTTCCCAAAGATGCCTGGAATGGCCACTTGACCGGCCTAAGTACCGGCCGGCGGCCGGTCGGCCTCAATGCTCCCTCAACGCACCGTGATCTGAATCGTCAAAATTGACGATTCAGATCAGACCGACGGCAGGCAGCCTCAAGGGCGCTGCCAGGCCCAACGGTAATGTCGTTTGGGCCTGTACCCGGTCTGCTGCAGGAAGGCCAACTGGTGCCTCAAGGTGGCCTACGGGGAGAAAGGTCCGGCCTTTTAGCTGGGCCGGCCTAAGTGCCCCTTAGCCTAGTGGTTGGGTCCGAAAGGGACCCGTGTGGCATCAGTATGTAACACACTCCCCCCCTTAAAAGACCGAGCTACCTGCGAGGGCGAAGTTGTCTGTTTGACAAGTCTCCGGTTCTCATAGTCGGAGAAGATGAGAGGTGCAGATGCCTGTAAGTCTGCGCGGGAGATCCAGCAAGTGTCATCAGGTGCACATTGCTTGAATGTGACTTTGTATTGCATTGGCTTGTTGCTAAACTTACGGTGCATGATGACATGGTCAACTTCCTGATGTCCGTCCATAGAGGGCGGATCCTGCGATCGTCTGTCCGGGAACTCGTCCTCAGATGGTGGCATATACACGGCCAGCTTTGATTCATGGAAGACCGGGTGCACGTGGAGGTGCGGTGGGATGGCAATCACAAAGGCAGGGCCAGCAGGGCCGTCGCCTGCTGCAGAAATTACCTTCCATGGTCCAAACCATTTCGGGAGGAGTTTGCGTGAGATGTCTTGCTCCAGCGCGAAGTCCTCAGCGAGGACCCAAACAAGGTCTCCCTTGCGGAGAGGACATGGGAGTCGACGTCGGTTGGCTTGCTGCTGCATGCGGATTTGAGCCTTTTGCATGTTCGTTCGAGCTTTGATCAGCAAGTCCCGGTACTTCCGAACGGAAGCGGGAGAGCAAGCGACGTCGATGTCGGCGGCCCGTGGTAGAAGAAGATCGGCAAAGACTCGGGCTTTGTCTCCACCGTGATGCAACTCGAATGGTGTGAGGCAGATCACCAGGTGCACCAAAGTGTTATAGGCGAACTCGATGTCGGGAAGCCGGTCAACCCAATCTTTCTGGTCGGGACGGATGAGTGTACGCAACATCATTTGAGCGGTTTGATGCGCTCGTTCCATCTTCCCATCCGTCTGCGGGTGCCGTGCGGAACTTGGCTTCATAGTCGATCCGGACTCTGCCACGAGGGAAGTCCAAAAGGTTGACATAAAGTGAGTGTCTCTGTAGCTCACAATGTCTTTCCGAACACCGTGGCAGGTAATCCAGCCGGTGTGCAAGAGTCGTGCGAGGTCGGGGGCTGTAGCATGATACTTGCATGGAAGAAAACGAGCGTACTTGCTCAAACGGTCAACGAGCGTGAGAATACCGTCATGGCCGTGGCGATCGCGGGGAAACGGGCCTGTCACGTCCATAGCAATGGAGAGGCGAGGTGCCCGAGGAATCGGCAACGATTTCAGTTTGCCATAACGGACCTGAGATCTACCTTTGTTGCGATGGCAAACTGCGCATGACTCAATGTACCTCGTGACGTCGCAGAGAACTTCGGGCCAGTGAAAACGCTGGCGGAGGCGGGCCAATGTGCGGGTCACGCCAAGGTGTGCCGAAAGTCGTGCGTCGTGGAATTCGCCAAGGAGGCGAGTCCATAAGACGCGATCTTGGGGCTCCACTAGCAAGTCCTTTCCTCTCGTGTGGAGGAGTAGGAACGTCGGAGATACGATAGTGATCGGTCGGCGGGTGATCCGACGAGAGCTTTGCGTATAGCGTGGAGTACATCGGGCCGGACTTGTAGCTGTTGACGACGTGCTGCTGCAGATCGTCGTCGAGCTGGAACGTCGTAGTCACTAGGGCACAAAAATCGGGCCGTCGTGAGAGGGCGTTCGCTGCTCAGTTGGCGGGACTGGGGAAGTGGCATGGGTCAAAGTCAAACTGGTTGATGTAAAACATCCATCAACTGATCGTGCTAGTGACCATGTCCTGCGTTTTGTTGTAGATCAACAAGTTAATTGTCCATGTTCCATTTAAAACGCCGACGACCGAGAAGAAAGTGGCGCCACCGTTTGAGAACGGTGACGAACGTGAGTAACTCTTTCTTCCTAGCGTCGTCGAGAGAGTTGACGAGAGGCACCTTTTGGGAGAAGTACTTGAACGGTGCCAACCGTCCAGGTGGCATTGTTCTAACACGGCACCAATTCCGTATCCGGAAGCGTCCGTAGTCACTTTGGTGGGTAGGGTGGGGTCATAAATACAGAGGGCCGGCGCGTCTTGCATCGCCGCCTTCAACGTATTGAACGCGCCACGAGCTGCGTCGTCGAACTCGAATGATACCTTTGGGGACTGTCGTCTCAACAAAGGGGCTGCCACTTTGGAGTAAGACTCGACGAAGCGCTGATAGTATCCAGCCAAACCCATGAAAGAGCGTACGTTTGTCATTGAACGGGGCTCCAGCCAATCCATGATGGCTTGGATCTTGTCCGCTAAGGGACGAATGCCTTTTGGCGTCACATAGTGGCCTAAGTGGATTGGCTTGGATCTTGTCCGCTAAGGGACGAATGCCTTTTGGCGTCACATAGTGGCCTAAGTACTCAAGCTCTTGTTTGGCAAATTTGCACTTGCCGCGGTTTGCTTTGTACTTGGCTGCTCGCAAACGATCCAAAAACTGCACGAAGGTGTAGGAGGTGCTCGTCAAGCATCCGACTATAGACCAAGATATCATCGAGGTAGATGAGGACGGTACGATCGAGCAAGTCTCGGAATTTCGTCGTCATAGCTGCTTGGAAGGTTGCCGGGGCATTGGTGAGTCCAAATGGCATCACGACCCACTCAAAATGCCCATACCTCGTTTTGAAGGCGGTCTTGTACCGGTCTTGAGGCTGGATTTCAATCTGGTGGTAACCCGACTTCAAGTCCAACTTCGAGAAGTACGTCACGCTGCCCAACCACTCAAGGAGATCATCGATCCGAGGGAGAGGACCGGCGTTCTTTACGGTTTGTGCGTTAAGTTTTCTATAGTCGATGCACAACCGTAGGTCCTTGTTCTTCTTTCGGACGAAGAGAACAGGTGCATCGTATGGCGAACAACTAGGGTGAATCCAGCCTTTGTCGAGGAGGTCATCGAGTTGTGTGCGAAGCACCTAGAGTTCCTCTTCGCTCATGCGGTAAATGTGCATCCACGCGGAGGGACGACACCAGCCTCGAGAGTAATCCCGTGACGTATGGACCGATCCGGAACCGTTTCCGTGGGAGCCTCAAAGACGTCTCCATATCCATCTAAGAGGTGAGTAATGCGTGGGTCCTGTGGCGACGCGGCTGGTCCGTCCGTCGACGGGAGGGAGTGTAAGAAGACAAGGCCCATTTCCTCTACGTCATTTCGAGCTATGGCGTCACGTATCCTCGC